AAACCTTGCCACGCAAACCCAACACATTTTTATACATCAGTATCTGAATTTTTTAATACAGGTTTAGGCATCTGAAAGTAATTGGCTTGATTTTTTTTTTTCCCCCCCCTAAAGAAGTTCAGTGTTGGTAGCCTATAACCCGACACTAATCTCAGGTGTTACCTGTCACTCAGAAATTAAAGCTTTTTCTTCTTTTATTACAGTTTTTTTTGTTTGCTTGGCTTTTTCCCCACACAACTTTCTGTAAGTCTGAATGTTCTTGGTGGAGTATAAGATTATTGCTTTTTCCTTCAGAATTTTCTGGCTCATCTCTTTAAATCCCTTTCCAGGCATTTAAAAAATAAAATAATAGTAATAATAATAACAACAGTAATAATCCGTTATTTTCTTGTGTTGAAGACTGTCTTCCTTGTTGTGAAAGAGTTTCTGAATCTAATGAGTATCTATCTTATGTATATGGGATGGCCCAGGTTTTTGTCCAATCGTTAAAAGTCATCTTCTGGTTGAGGTCTGGCTAACTTGAAATGCCTAATAGAAGCTAAGTTGTGTTCTAGGGGTTAAAACCTCAGCATGAATTCCATGTAAGTTTTATCTTCTCATGAAAACTTTTTCAGTCATTTCAAGTTGGGTTTAATTTTGAGTAATTCTAAAAATACTCTTGTTTTACAGTTTTTGACATCACTTTTCAACACTATCTCATGTAGACTTAATTTTGGAGAGTAGATCTCTTTACTTGACTTACACATTGATTTAGCACATTGTCTAGCTAATCTTCTATTAATAATTGAAGTCATGGTAGTAGATAATATTTTCGCAAATGAGAAAAGAGAAGAAATAATTTTGAAGGTAAATGAAGTTTAATCAATGAGATGCTTTCTGTTACTCTCACTTTTCCATATGATGATCTGAACACTGCTATAATAAAGTTCTTCAAATAGACAATTAAACTATTTAATTAATTCCTTATGTTCTTTATGATCAGAGGTCTGGAGCACTTCTCCTATGAGGACAGGCTGAGAGAGTTGGGGTTGTTCAGCCTGGAGAAGAGAAGGCTCCGGGGAGACCTGAGAGCAGCCTTCCAGTACCTAAAGAGGCCTACAGGAAATCTGGAGAGGGACTGTTTACAAGGGCATGGAGTGACAGGACAAGGGGGAATGGCTTTAAGCTGAAGGAGGGTTGGTTTAGATTAGATAGTAGGAAGAAATTCTTCCCTGTGAGGGTGGTGAGGCACTGGCACAGGTTGACCAGAGAAGATGGGTG